CTGTTCACTGGGTGCTGTGCTGGCTCTTGTGAGTGGCACAAAACATTCAGACAGAGTTGCTGGGTGGATCTCCTTCCACCAAGGGTCACCGTCAAGCAGTCGTCCCTGGCTAAATGTGCAGAGATCAGTAACAGTTTGTCTGTTAAGGGTCAGAATTTGCTTCTATTTGTTTCTATCATGTTAATTTACCACTCTAGGAGCCTATCTATTTGTTTTTCTCTCAGCCAAATCTTGGAGCTATTCTTCTTTTCTTGAGGACATAGCTTAGAATGCTAACTGGGTAGTATTAAAGCCAAGGACCATCAGAAACACACCTGGAGTGAAAACAAAAAGGTGGGTTTATGGGGTAGCAAGGAAGAACACATTGGAGATGAACTGTGGGGGCCTCCTTACAGGTTTCAGGCTGACGCAGGATGATTTTCACGAGGGGTTAGGAGAGCAGAGGCTGGTTTCGGGTTGGGTTGTATCAAGAGGGAGGGTCAATTTCGTGACCAGGTGTCTTAATACATTTTATCAAAGAGGCTGATGGATGAACGCTGGGCTAGGAGAAGTTACTTGTGTTAGTCAGAGGAGGAGATGTTTTGTGATTGTTGAGGTTGTGGAGTGGCCATGTCTCTGTCTTTTTCCAAACACAGCAGCAGCGGCGTTGTCTGAGCATTGTTCAGATTCACTGTTTATATTCAGTTGGGAACATCATTGTCTGGCTGCTGGTGGGGCCATTTTTAATTTTCTTAGAAGCTTCCTCATTTGTAAAACGAGAGGACTGCGTAAGAACAGTGATTTCAAACTGCTCCCCAAAGGTCTAGGAGCTTTGGGGGCCACTGTAGATACCATGGGGAGGCAGAGTGGGCAGGGCTGTTGGCCCTCTTGCTCCTCTCTCAACAGAGCAGGTATGCTTTTCCAGTTTTACCTTTTGGGGTTCTGTGTTAAACCACATTTTGTTTATCTTTTAAACCTTTATTTTAGAATTGGGGGTACATGTGCAGGTTTGTTACATGGGTATATCGTGTGATGCTGAGGTTTGGAATACCAATGAAACTGCCACCCAGATAGTGAGCATAGCACTCGATAGGTAGGCTGTTTCCAGCCCATCCTCCCTTCCTTTCTTCCCCTCTCTTGTATTCCCCAATGTCTGTTGTTCCCACTTTTATGTCCATGTGTACCCACTTAAAAGTGAGAACATGTGGTATTTGATTTTCTGTTTCTGTGTTAGTTTGGTTAGGATAATGGTTTCTAGCTGCATCCATGTTGGGGCGAAGGACATGACTTCATCCTTTTTCATTGCTGTGTAGTATTCCATGGTATATATGTACCACATTTTCTTTATTCAATCCACCACCACTGGCAGGCATTTAGGTTGATTTTGTGTCTTTGCCATTGTGAATAGTGCTGCGATGAACATATGGGCACAATTTTTTTTTTTTGTAGAACTATTTATTTCCCTTGGGGTATATACCCAGGTAGAAGGACATGCTTGCATTGCTATGAAGAAATACTGACATGATGCCAGCATCTGCTCAGCTTCTGCGGGGGCCTCAGAGAGTTTTTCCTCATAGCAGAAGGTGAAGTGGGAGCAGACACATCACATGGTAAGAGCAGGAGTGAGAGGGAGAGGAGGAAGTGCCATATACGTTTAAACATCCAGATCTCATGTGAACTCACAGTGAATCACCAAGCGGATGGTACTAAGGCATCCATGAGGGATCCGCCCCCATGACCCAGTCACCTCCCATCCGGCCCCACCTCCAATATTGGGGATCACATTTCAACATGAGATTTGGGTGGGACAGATATCCAAACCATATCACCCCAATAGACGGGTTGCTGGGTTGAATGGTAGTTCAACTCTCAGTTCTTTGAGAAATTTCCAAATTGCTCTCCACAGAGGCTGAACTAATCTTCATTCATATCAATACTGTATGTGTTCTCTTTTCTCCAAAGTCTTGTCAACATGTCATGTTTTGACTTTTTAACAAAAGCCATTCTGACTGGTGTAAGATGGTATCTCATTGTAAACCACATTTTCAACACACATTCTTTTGCTTTAGAGGAGCTTAAAAATTGCTGAACTGGATAAGCTGTAGGTCTCTCTATTGCTTCCTGGCACAGGGAGGTAAAATAATTTGTCCCAAATGTATAGAACTAATTAGATTCGGTGGCTTAAGTTTGAACCTCAGCTTTGCCATCACTTTCAGAATTTTGCTCGTTTTATTTCCTTTTTCCCACTGTGTCAGGATTCCAGCATGCCGTGTCTGAAGGGCTGATGGGATACACTGTACATTCATTTGAATGAGGCTCCCAGAAGCCTCATAAAAATATTTTATCTTAATAAGTGAGACTCATATAAGTTTGGTTGGACTGAACAGGAGGACCAAAATGAGAAAAAACTAGTAATGGAACCCATTTTTACCATCCAGAAGGTGAGGTCAGGGGCATGATGGTCTTCATATTATTCCATGATTCATCAACTATGCAGTAGGGACAAGGTGGCACAGATTAAACTAGGTTCTTATTTAGTATACAGTTATTTGGGGGATAACTGTGCTTCCATTAATTTTATGAGACTTATCCTTGTATGTTTGTATCATTAGCTATTTGCTTATTAGATGTTTATTTTCCATTTTGTCTCTACTGTGGCAATGTGGGTGCTGGAATTCTCCCTTTCTCCTAGAGGTACCTTCTCAGCACATGTTGACTCTGTGCATCTGTTTAGCTGTTTGGGGTCCATAAGTTTCGTGGTTATAATTTACGTCTCTATAATCATTACTAATCAGAATAGCAATTGATTCAATGCTCAGTGTCTTAATTTAGACTTTGAGTTGACAGTGATGTGCTAGAATTTACAGTAATGATGTTGAGTGATTCTGCTTTGTCTGGGGATTTAATAATTGCTATTACCTCCACATGGCACCCTTTGTTCCTTCAGCTATGAGATTCCAGACCTTTGAATGGCTATATGAACTCATGGGAACAAGGGATAAACTATTAAGACTAGAGAGAACTCTGCCTCTAGAATTAATTCTTTGGTTTTCTGATTGAACCAATTTACCAGAAGGAAGCATCACATGTAAACTGATCAGAAGGTTGCTCAGTAAACCGAGCAAGGAAAATTGGACATTATTAAGCAGTGTTTCTCAATGAGGCATTTGGAGAATCACTTTGTGAACAATAGATGTTAGTCTACATCAAACTACAGCAAACCATGGCATATGTTCTGAATCTATCTTCCTGCCAGTTTTGTATGTCCCCTGGGCTACGAATGGTGTTTAGATTTTTAAATCATTGGAAAAAATCAAAACAAGAATAATATTTCATGCGATGTGAAAATTATGCAAAATCCAAATTTCAATGTCCATAAAAAGTTTTGTTAGAACATAGCCACACTCTTTCATTTCCATATTGTCTGTGGCTGTTTTGTGTTATAATGGTAGAAGTGAGTAGTTAAAAAAGAAACCTAATAAGCCACAAAGGTTAAAATGTTTACCCTCTGGCACTTTATAGAACTGGTTAGCCAACCCTTGGTCTATATGATAGTGTTGCACAAGGAAAAAGTTAAGAACCTCTGTTCTCGGCTGGGCATATGCCTGTAATCCCAGCACTTTGGGAAGCTGAGGTGGGTGGATCACCTGAGGTCAGGAGACCAGCCTGGCCAACATGGCAAAACCCCATTTCTACTAAAAATACAAAAATGAGTCAGGTGTGATGGTGCATGCCTGTAGTCCCAGCTACTTGGGAGGCTGAGGCAGGGGAATCATTTGAACCCGGGAGGTAGAGGTTGATATTGCACCACTGCACTGCAGCCTGGGTGACAGATTGAGACTCCATCTCAAAAAAAAAAAAAAAAAAAAAAAGGAACCTCTGCTCTTAATAAATAATCTCATTGAATTATGACTGCTTGCTAGTGAACACTTATTCACTTATTCTAATAATTTTCTCAGGGCAAGTATTTCGGAATCAGCATATTTTGTCTTATAGATAGATCCAGGGTCGGCCTTAATCTTCTTTCCTTCCACTTATTTTTTGTTTAGAGATACATTTTCCAATTATGGCATTGGTAGTTACTATTTGTGTGAAAAATGTTGTATTCCATATCCCAGTTATTCATTTTTCTTCTTGTGGATGTTTTGCACATACCCAAGTTTATGTGTGTTAACATAGCTCTTAGGCACTAGGGAAGTGAGTGTGCTTAGGCTTAAAGGTATTGGTGTTCAAGGAAGGAATGCTCAAAAGAAAGATTGAACACAAGAATGCAGAGTTCTAAGGGGCTGGGAAAAGGAGACAGAAGTCCTAATAGAGTCACGGTGATAATTTGTTGGCAAGTGCAGATCAGAAAAATGCTGCTATTTGAGATTTCAGAGAACTGCTTAGGTTGCAGTTTACATTGCAATGGGGATGGAAGCTGAAGTAACTGAACAGAAATTGCCTTATTTTTTCCCACTTTCCAGATCAATGAAAGATAAAATGATTTAATCTTTGATTGAGGGTAGATGCAGAGAAGAGAATCTGAGTTCTGGAAGAGCAAGGCTAACACATGTGTGCAGTCTGTTACAAGCTACCAACTAAATTTCCAGATGAGAACTCCTCCCAGGACAAAGAATTCTAGGTTGAGGGGCATATATTGCATTGGCAGGCTCATTGCATCTGTTTTCTCAATCATGCTGTTACTTACTATGGAATATGGATCGTTATGGTGATGTGAGGATGGAAGCCATGTGCCCTGCAGAATCTTGGGAAACTTTATGGACCCCATTGCAGGGGCCCTTGAAAACAGTATGCTGAGAATAGATAGGGCTCAAGGACAGTATCTCGAGTTGAACTTTTAATGAACTCCCGTAGGCGCCAAGAAGGCGGACAAATAAGGAAGAGCATAGAGATAAGGAACTAAGCAGAAGGTTACATCTGGGTAAAGAAAGTTTGTTTTGCATTGTTTCCTTCTGCTGACGTGGGGTTTATGGAGTATAAATAAAGTGAGGCGGAGGCTCTGGGTGCGGCCGCCATGTTCTCTGTTTGTCTTTGTCTTTTGTGTCTGTTCATTCTCCACCACCCCTGGCACGGTCCCCAATACCCCATAATGTTGGCAACGAGAAAGGAGCAGAGGATGTGACATCTGAAGACCAGCTCAAAAGAGTAAACTTTTACCAAGGCTTATGCACATTCCACCCCCCTCTTCATGGCGTTATTTCGGAGCATCCTCCTAGTTTGATGCCTTTGTGTCCTCTCTAAAAATCCCATGGAGTAAGAGACTTCTGCCCAGCAAGCCTGATGACTAGTGTACTGACACCAGTTCCATAAGTACCACCATCTTAAGCCTATCCCACTGTTTCAGCTTTGAACTTCTAGTTGGCAGAGTGAAGACAGCATCCTGTGAGTCACCAACTTTGTAGTAAGTAGGCTCTATATTTTCAGTACAATGCTAAGGAACTTATTAGCCTTTGCCTCTCTATTTAGGGGGAATGTAGAGTTTCACATTCTCCAGTTCGCCTTCTCAGAAGAGTAGATTTAATAATAATAATAAAAAGTGGTGAGACTCTCTGCCACACGGTCTTCTGGTGATATATGCTAATCATAGGCAGGAAGACACTGTGACCTGTTTTGTAAGTTTAGTTAGTTTTCTGATCTCCCGGCCATTAACAAGGCTTTCTTGTTACTAGAAATTTTGAAGAAAAAGAAACATGAAAAATTAAATCATATAAATGGAAGATAATATAGGTCGATACAGCATGTCCTTGAATAGTCATTTTGTTATAATGCTGATGAGATAACAAATCGATTCCTTGCTGGAGCCATTATCTGTGTGGAGTTTGTACAGTCTCCCCAGGTCTGCTGGGTTTTCTCCAGATACTCCAGTTTCCTCCCACATCCCAAAGATGTGAGGTTCATTGGCATGTCTACGTTGTCCCGGTCTGAGCGAGCGTGGCTGTGTGTGAGTGCGCCCTGCGATGGAATGGTATCCAGTCTGAGCGAGCGTGGCTGCGTGTGGGTGCGCCCTGCGATGGAATGGTATCCTGTTCAGGATAGGTTCCTGCCTTGCATCCAGCCTAGGTTCCAGCCACTCAAAACCCTGGTAAGGGGGTAAATAATTACCTTACTTTTTTTTTTTTATTAATCTTTCTTAAATATATGTATAGCTCACATTTATTTCAGTGTTTAACATTAGAAGTGTTTTGGGTCTTAGAAGTTTGGTGATGTTTTCGTAACCAGAAATAAACCATAGGAACTGAACTTTTGTTCATATCAATTAGCCTATGGTAACTTTGGCTTTGGCATACATTGTGCCACTTAAAGTCACAGTTTCCAAGAACTGATCTATCAAGCCATGTTCAGTGAGGACTTACTATATTTGTCTTATCACAGAGTAGGAAAGGACTTTCTAAGCACAAACGCAAAGAGGAAAACCATAAAAAAATCTGAGCACTTGCTCTAAAACAGAGTTTGTCAACTATTCCTATTTTGGGCCAAATCTTTCTTTGTTGTGGGGGCCTGAGCATTGCAGAATGTTTAGTATCATTCCCGGTGTCTGCTTCTTAGATATTAATAGCAGCCCTCCAGTCATGACAATCAAAAATGTTCAGGTGTTGTCAAAGTTTCCCTAGCGGACAATATCGCCACTGGCTGGGAGCCACTGTTCTAGAATGATTGTTTTGTATGCAAGGGGGAAATAAAAAGCCACCTCACATTCAAGTCATGGGCTTGAATCATACACTTACACAGGGCCTCATTTTGGAAATATAAAATTCCAAAGAAACAAAGCAGACAAAGGGCCCACTTTGGTTTCTGTGTCTCCCTGGTAGGGTTTGTGGGGTTTCTCTCAGGGCAGCACTGCCTCTACCCTCACATTTATCCTTTATCCTCTCTGTGGTTGCTTGTTTCCTCTGTTTGTTTCTGATCATGCCTCCCTCTGCTTGCACGGTCCTTTGGCTTGCCAACCCTTCTTCACGGAATCTGTTACTTTCAGATCTTGCCCTGCTGCTAGCTGTGAGAGACAGAAATTTATCTCCATGTATAATCACATCTCTGCTATTATGTTGGGCTGTGTGATAAGCATAGGCTGCAGGTCACCCTATGGAGAAGCTGTCCGCGGGCCAAGTGCATGCCCCTCCTCCACCAGTTGTGACCCGTAGGGAAGGGGTGTCATTGGTGTGAACCACCAGTGCTTGGCAGCAGGAGCCATGGACTGCAGACTCACTCAGAAGAAAGTGGGGATAGGTAGGTGCTGACTGAGATCTCTAAACCAGAGAAAAAAATCTAAAAGTTCCATCTATCCAGAAGCAATTCCCACAAGCATGACTAATCTGAATGAAATAAACTGGGTAGAGGATTCGACATGCGGCGTGGGATTAATATACAAGTGATTTTATAAATCAGTATATAAAATGGTGAATATCTCAAGAAGACAATGTGCCAAGGGCAGGAAGGAGCAAAGCCACACAACAAGAATTGCAGTGGCCACAAATATTGGAATAAATACTCAGACGCACGAAGTATAAAAGAAGTGCAAATTATTACAAAGCAAATATAAAATTTTGCCTTTCACATTGGTGAAAAATTAAAAAATAGCAATTGTTCATTTATTCTTAGTGAAAGACTAGCAAAATTCTCATGCTGGTACCGAAAGGAAAACTGCTGATGTTACTAAAAATCAGGTCAGCAAGTTTTTGGGTGTAATCTGGCAATAGAGATGAAAGCACCAAAAATGTTCATACCTTTTGAGTCAATAATTTCCTCTAGACATTTACTCTAAATAAATATTCTGAGATGTGAGTAAAGAATTATATATGAAGATGAAATATTCATCAATGGATGTTTTATTCTAACAAAATATTGGAATTAAATATCCAAAAGGGGATTGATTAAAGGTATTTTTAAAACACGTTTATGACATAGGAAAGGTTCAGAATATTGTGTTTAGTGAAATTAACAGGTTACAAAGCTATTTCTAGTATGATTTAAATTTTGCATGTATTTACAGAGATACACATACAAAATTAAAAGTAGGAAGAAATATATCAAGTATTTAATAGTGGTTATCTAAAGTTGGTTGTATGACTGATTTTTATCTTCCTTTAACTTTTATGTTTTCTCTAAACTTTCTATAAGAGTCCATTATTTATAAATATATATTTTATTAAATTTTTATTAAATTTTCTTTCTTTCTTTCTTTTTTTTTTTTTTTTTGGGGACTGAGTCTCACTCTGTCTCCCAGGCCGGAGTATAATGGTGCCATCTCAGCTCACTGCAACCTCTGCCTCCCATGTCAAGTGATTCTCCAGCCTCAGCCTCCCGAATAGCTGGAATAACAGGTGCGTGCCACCACACCTAGCTAATTTTTGTATTTTTTAGTAGAGACAAGGTTTCACCATGTTGGCCAGGCTGGTGTCAAAACTCCTGCCTTGTCCTCCTGGAGTGCTGAGATTACAGGCGTGAGCCACCGCACCCGGCCTATAAATATGTGTTTTAAAAAGTTTGGGCTCGGTACGGTGGCTCACGCCTGTAATCCCAGCACTTTGGGAGGCTGAGGCAGGTGGATCACCTGGCATCTGGAGTTTGAGACCAGCCTGGTCAACATGGTGAAACCCCATCTCTACTAAAAATACAAAAATTAGCCGGGCGTGGTTGCAAGCGCCTGTAATGTCAGCTACTCTGGAGGCTGAGACAGGAGAATCGCTTGAACCCGGGAGACAGAGGTTGCAGTGAGCTGCGATTGCGCCACTGCACTCCAGCCTGGAGGACAAGAGTAAGACTTCATCTCAAAAAAAAAAAAAAAGTTTAAAAGATGCACTCTTTGCAAATAATAAGTTTTAAAATGACTTATAGGCTGTCTTCTGAGAATCCTCCCAAAGTGAGAATTTGTTATTATCCAGGGCCCAGCCTTTCAGACTGAGAATCCCATTTCTTTTCCCAGCTCACTAAATGCAGAAAAATTTATCAGGGAGGCAGACTCACATTTAACTAAGCTTATAGAGACTGATGTATAAAACCAGAACCCCAGTGAATTAATTTGCAATAAGAAATAGAACTGTAGAAAGAACCAAACACTTGTGTTCTCAGGCTAAATTATTTTTTCTCTGTAGCTTATTGTGTGGAAAACTATATCATAAACAATATTGTCCTGTGAGTAGGGAATCAGAACTAAGAGTGTTAATTATAAGACTTTAATGTTTTATTGCATCAAGTTTTAATTGCATGAGGCAGTTTGGTCCATAGTAAGAACAGACATGCCACCAGGCCTAGATAAGTAGAGTCTCACTATCTGGACTGAGATTGAAGTGGTATTGCCAAAGTTTGCCTTGATGTATATTTTTAAACTTTCATTGACTTTGTGATGATCACCTTTCTTCATGTACAGTGTTTCAGGTAGGGTTCATATTGGCAGACACAGACCTGTACACATTCTACAGTAAATCACATTATCAAGGTATTTAATAAAGGATACGAAAATTAGCTAGAGGGAGGGTCAGGCCACACAGAATCAGAGCATACATTCTGTTTCTCAACCCAACTTCCTCAGACCTTGCAACCCCCCGTGGGAGGATGTGTGGCTGACAGTGATGTTGTCCACCTAAAGTGCGTCTTCCCAGATCTGAGAAGCGTAATTTTCAGTTGCAACAGAGTCCTCTTTACACTTGGGGCTTATATATATCATATGTGTGTGTGTATAATGGGAGAAAAAACCAAATGAAGCAAACTGTCTGTTTTCTCCTACTGTACTCAATACTCTGCACAACGCAGAACACTCTGGTCACCAAAATGTGTGTGTGTGTGTATGTGTGTGTGTGTATGTGTGTGTGTATGTATATGTGTGTGTATGTGTGTGTGTGTACGTGTGTGTGTGTGTACGTGTGTGTGTGTGTGTGTACGTGTGTGTGTGTATGTATATGTGTGTGTATATGTGTGTGTGTATGTGTATGTGTGTGTGTATGTGTATGTGTGTGTGTGTGTGTGTATGTGTGTGTGTGTGTGTGCGCGTGTGTGTGTGTGTGTTTTCCCTATATCCTGACCAGTTCTCCAGCGGACACCAGCTGGATGTCCTGTAATTCAATTCAATTCTGACACTGTCTACCTGGAGTTAAAAGTCAGATCCCACAGGTTAAGGGCTCAGTCCCACAAGACTGTCCCCCATTTCAGATGCCAGTCACAAGCCCAGACCTTTGGAAATTCTGACCCATTGGCTATAAACTCGGGGAGGGATCTTACAAGCCTCTCTTTGGGATTGATCATTTGCCGCAACGGTTCACGGAACTCTGGGAAACACGTACATTTACTGGTTTATTACTTAATCAAGGATGTGATAAGGGATAGGTAAGAGGCACACATGATGAGATTTGGAAGGGTCCTGAGCAGAGTACATTTCCTCCCTGTGGATTTGGGATGTGCCACCCTCCC